GCACAGCGTGCTCGATGGAGGCTGTTACGGTCGGAGGGGATCCGGTGGGGAAAAAGGAGGCGTGAGGTCGGGAACGATCCCTTTCTGACCCCTAGCCGACTCACCCAGGCCAGCAGCGTCTCCCTCTCGGCCACGTGGTAAATGAGGCGCAGGGGTCTGGAGGAGCTGTGAAGGCGCGCGTGCAGGCGGTGGTACAGGTCCGACAGGCGCTGCCGTTCCTCTTCCCTGCCGTACGGGGCCTCCAGCTCAGGGCTGCGGGGACCGCGGGAGGTAAGGCCAAGGTCAGTCAGAGGCCTCCTTGGCTCGCCCGTCTCCCCTCAGTCTAGGGGTTCAATGAAATGAGGCAGCCGAGCCTTCCCCATCGGACTTGGGGTTTCTCAGGGGCTGGAGACCCAGCTTCCCCAGCAAACGAGGGATTGATTCCTTGAGCACTGGATTAGAGTAAGGGATTCCTTGAGCCTCCCTCATTACACGGACACCCATTCGATCCCTCCTTTCCAGAGGATGCCCGGCTCTCTCCCGCCTCATGTCCAGCAGAAGAATCTTTTAGTCAAATAAGCCTGCCTGCCCAGCCAACCGCCCATAGGGTCAGGGCCTACCTGGTAAACTGAGGCAGCTGGCGGTGATGGTCGGGGATATCCAGCGGCTTATAGAGGAAGTGGCGGAGGCCGGGTGCCCCCACAGCCTGCACACTGTAGGCAGGGGCACTGCTTGCTGGGGCACTAGAGAAGCTGGCAGCCTCCCGGAGGGCACGCGTGGCCCCGAGGGTGTGCATGCCCTCTTCCACCAGGCGCCGGCAGGTGGCCATGTCATGGAAGGCCTCAGGGTCGGTGCCCAGCAACAGCAGGCAGACAGGCATGGCATCCAGGCGAGCCACGTAGGCGTAGAAGAAGCCATCGGGGTTGAAGCGGGGCAGGCACACAGGCGCCCATGCCTCTCCTGCCGCAAAGGCCGGCGCCCCCACCCAGTCGAGCAGCAATTGGAGGTCGGCCGGGTCCAGGCGGCACTCGGCCAGCACGGTCCGCTCCTGAGCTGCCGTCACCAGTCGCCCTCCGATCGCCAGCACGGACAGCGCCAGGCCGGGTGCCGTGCAGCGGCGCAGCAGCGCGCCCAGTGCTTCCCGCAGTGGGCGCGCCAGGGGCACGCAGCGCACCGCGCCCAGGAGCAGGGCACCGGGGTCGCGTTCCACGCTGTCCAGAAGCCGGTCCAGCGTGCGCTCTGAACCGGCCAGCAGGCGGCGGAGGTCGTAGTTCTGCTTGCGCGCGAAGATGCGGGCGACGCTTGCGCGTGTCAGCGTGCTCACTATCTGTGCGTGCACAGCCAGCAGCTCCCCCCGCAGCTGGGCTGCCGACTGCGGAGTCCTTGACACGGCCACCAGCAGCAGTGGGCCCTGCTGTAGGAACACCAGCTTGTGGTCCTCTAGGGGAGGGAAGGGCGGGGGCGGGGGGGGGGCGCGAGAGGGGTCCGCGATGACCGGAGGGGATTGGGCGGGGCTCTTCTGCCCTTTGCCTGAACACACACACTGCTGGCCCAAGTTCACGCGGTCACTCCATGGTACACTTGGGCTGGGATAAGGACAACTGGGGGGAGTGTGGGTATTCGCAGAGACACGATGGGTCAAGGAATCAGGTGAGACACACAGCATGGATGACACAGAGCAAGGACTGACACAGAGCCCAGCAAGACACCCAACTCAGCCACAGAGCCCCCGAGGTCACGCTTTCAGATAAATAAGGAAGTTTATCCAGCCAGTGACTTAGACCCGGGCGAGTTAATCACTCAGAACCCAACTGGCCAAACAGACGGACAACAGACAGACGCCTGGCCAGCCATCCACACACACGGACTCACCCCTGGCTGGTGGGCTAGTCCCCCAGGCAGCCGGTGGGCCAGCCAGCCAGATTCCCAGTCACCATCCCCCGGTCTACCTCCTCCTTTGCTCACCGGCGTAGATGGCACGGATGGCATCTCCTGCACTCTGCACGAAGGACACGAGGGCTGTCATCACGCCCATGGTCGTGGACAGTGCCTCCACACTGCCGTACCTCGAGTAGATGGGCTTGCCTGCCTCGCTCAGCACAAACACGTGCTTCCGCTTGCTGCGCCAGTCCTCGTCACTGGGGTCCCCGCCCTGGCCCCCAGAGCCACTCTCAGGGCCACCTGTGGGACTATTCTCAGAGACTGCGGGATCCCAGAGCCCACAGGTGCATGATGGGGCCCCTGACTGGGGCAGTGGTGACAGCAGGCTGGGTGGCTGGTCCTTTGTCTCGGATTCTGAAAGACAACTCCTGGTGGGTCATCTGGCTGTGGACTCCCACTAACTCCAGGTACCCAAGGATTTACCAAATCTCCACCGGCTCCCCAGTGACCCTTGCTGCTGACACAGACCTCCAGGTGTCTCCTCTGCCTCTCAATGACACCCAAGAGATCCCTCTAAAACCCCAACAATCCAATCTCTCATTGTCATTATTGAACTCTGGCCCTAGAGACTGTTTATTCTTTCAATAACTGCCATTTCCAAGTCTTCAAAGCACCCCAGTGCCTCTGAATGACCATTATTGATATTTCCATCTTCAGTGATTCCCCACTAAAACCTCTGACCCCTCATTTATTCTCCTAGTACCTACTCACCCCTCATTGGCCATCTACTAGTATCTCTATATTCTCTCATTTAAATCCTTCGCCCTGCCCCACTCCTCCCTAACCTCTTATTTATTCTCATCAATGTTCACTGATCCCTAATGACCTCACTGACTCTTCTGCTCACCCATGTATATTTTTGATGATAACCACTAACTCTCCCAATGACGGCCATGAATATCCACTAGCACCCAGATCTTTAAGCCTTCCTTAATCCACTATTTACTCCCACTGCTGTTCACTAACATCCCAGTGACCCCACAATATCACTAATTCCTCCAATGACTGCCCTGTCACACAATCTAAAATATTTTACTCCATGGGCACTTCATCCCCACCATGACCACCATCGACCTCTACTAACATCTGAGACTTCATATGACCTCCACTGACTCTTCTGACCCTGTTATTCTATTCTCCCTTCACTCCAGTGACTACTATTAATCTCCACTAACACCTGGGACTTCAGTGACCTCCTCTGATTTCCCTGACCTCCCTTTATTTTCACGGATAGCTACTCCCTTCCTCACAATACCCACTATAATATTCACTAACACACAGGACAATAATAACGACTTTTTTCATGACCATCATTAATAATCACCAATAAAACCCAGGACTTGACTGCCCCCTACTGACTCCCTTGACACTCCTCTCTTTTATTCCAGTCAATATCCATTCATCCCTCAATGACAACCATTATTATCCATTGGTAAGTATGTCTCAACAATTTTCCCATAAAATCCCAGGGACCACATATTCCCTCATTCTCTGGTTGACATTCACTGATCCCCCATGTACCCAGTTACCAATTACCTCCTCCCAGTACCTGCCATCAATTGACAGTAATTCCCAAGTTCTCAAAGACACTACCCCCTACCACCACCATTTATTCTCAGTGATGTCCACTCATCCTTCCTGATGATGCCACTAACATCCACTCATTCCAAAGTGGTCAGTGAACATCGATTCCCCAAAGACTCCCATTGTGTCTCCACCAAATACCTTTACACATCCAGCTGGGTCTTCAAAGACTCTCCTATAGGTCATCTCAGTCTCCAAATAAACTCATTGATGTCCACGGCCTCCCTACCGATGATCACCATTAACATCCACTAATTTCTGGTTCCTTAAAGACTGCCCCCAACAACTCACCATTGATTCCTCAATGATGAAAACACTGAGTGCCCACTGGTCACCACTGATCCCCTTTCCCACCGCAAGGACTTACATAACACCTTAGCCACCAAAGACACTGACTTCTAAATAGTTCCCCTGCGACTGTATTAACTTTCTTTTGGTCACTCATTGACCTAAACATCCTAAATCCCCATGCCCCTCTGTGACCCCAATCTCTTCTTGATTCATCAAAGACCTGAACTCACACCAAGGCCCGAGGGAACATCCCCTGATACCCACGGATTTCCTTGTCATTCCTCCATGATTTAAATTACACCGTGTGTCCACAATGACCTCCTACTGATCCTGCTATGGTTTAAGCTACTTTCCTGAGTCCCAAAAGACTCTTCGCTGGTCCTCCATTGACCTCCCTCAACAAAGACACTCCGTAGGGATTCCTTCCAAGACCCGAATGAGGGGAAGGCATACCTGTTTCCTCCTGGTCCCCGTCTCCAGGATCCGGTGGGTCTTCGCGAAGCCCTCCACCGTCTCCTGCCACCTCACTGGGAAACCGAGTGTCCTCCAAGTCCTCCACGTCCCCAGGGGGTGGGGCAGTAGTGTCACCTCCAGCCTCCATCTGCACATCCCTGTGGGGTAGAAGAATTGAAGGTGACAGGCGGCAAAAGAAACTTCTTAAAAGCCTCTACTGAGCCTGGCCCCCTCGGACACATTCCTAGTGCTCATTTCCCGTCGGGTTTCAACAGGATGAAACAGTCAAAAACATGCCAAATACGCGCACCCTCCAACATTTTCCGAAAAGGGAGGTCCCACTGGGCCTTAGAAAATAAAGATACATACACACCTGTTTTAACCCCGTATCTCAATTGGCCGGGTACCATCACTTCTCAAGCCGCCGTAGCATCACACTTCCGGGTGCGGCGTCCGTCTTGCCACACTTCCGGGTGCGACGTCGCTCCCAAGACGATTCCGGTTGAGGCGCCTTATTCGCTCTCCGCCGCGCCGCAGCCCTCTCTCCCGCCGCCTACTGGTGTCCCCGCACCGTTGAGATGACGCGCGCCCCTCCCAGATTTACGTCGCTCCGGTTAGGGACCCGGTGAGCCGCCTATAACCGCACTGGCTGGCCGGGCTGACACAGGGGAGCCGGGCCCGCTTCTCCTACAGAAGGCTGCCGGCGTGAGGGGGGCGCGGCTCACGTTCAGCCAATCCGGAGTCGGAGGGCGGCACTGCCTCCCTCATGGCCCAATCAAGAGAAACCGGCTCTCCTTCAGCGCTTCCGCCGGTATTCTGGCCGCCTATCTCTACCAGTACTGTGCACTGGCTTGAGATTGCACCCGCCCATCTTGACTGACATATCCCCGGGCCCAATCGTAGGCTCAAGCCGATGTCCCTCTTCATTCGAGGACTTTGGCAGCCTCAGTCATGATGGATAATACTGGTGCCCGACCAATAGTGGTGCTCCGCCAGAACAGAGGCAACTTCACTCTCCCTTATCCACCCGAGAAAGCGAGGGGATGAAGGTGGAGTGGAGTAGTCTGTGCATTGAGGAAATGATTGACGGACAGCCCCCCCCCCCCTTCCAATCGGAGCGCTGTGCGCAGCCTGGCCAACCTATGGGACTTGGCTGCTAAGGCGAGAGGCGGGCTTCTCAGAAGTAGGAAGTATTCGTGGGTCCGTCTGCAGTCAGCCGGGCAAAGGGCTCGGCGGACTCTGGAAATAGCGCGAACCGTGGACGTGCTCATGACGAGGGGGGAGTGAGCTCACGAAGGCCACGTACAGGCTGCCCAGAGCTTGCCCAGACTCACAAAAGGTCAGGCAGACCTCATTTCCGAAACAACGGTGGGCTGAGCTGCAGGTTTAGGAGTATCCGCCTAAGGCAGGGGCATGGGGGCGTGGCTTTGAAAGGCCGCGGAGCACTGGTTGGTTGAGGAAAATGCCCCTCCGGCCTCTGCGTGCCACCATTGGCTGGGCTAGGGGAGGCGAAACGCCTTCGCCTCTGGGGACCCGCCCCCTAGAGGGTGTACACCTGGTTTAGAAAGATTGCCTGGACTGGATTTGTTCTTAACCTGGGCTGGAGCGGTTGGGCAAAGCCCTTGAGGAACCGCGGAGTGAGTTCCTGATCTCCATCTACACTGGGGAATCATAGGAGAAATAGACTTGATCTCTGATCACTTTGTCTTCAGGAGATTGAAGAGTAAACTCTTCCCTGCCTTCCCGACAGGGGTTCCCTGAATTGCGACTTCCTTTGTCTCTGCGTGGTGTGCTTAATTCCAAGCTCCTTGTCATGTTGGCTGAATCAACATCCCCAGGTAAACAAATCAACTCTTCCCACACCCAGATTCCCTCCAAAATACAAGGCATTAAAAAACAGCTCCGGCAAGAGTAGATGGGGTAAGTTCTGGAGTCCAGTGAATCTTGGAGACCATAGTAAGTATCCTGGGCTCACACAAAAACTTTTCAATTCATTGCAGAGGATTAAGGCAACCGAAGGGTATTTGAGTTTATTTATATGGCTGCTAAGGAGAATGAATAATTGTGCTTACATCCAAAGTGTGCATCCCCAGTGAGAAATTCTGCATTTCGGGTGAGTTGATCAATCTTAAACTCAATCTCAAGGTGCCCTCTCATCCTCTGCACAAACATTTCCGTACTGGGCTCTACCCACAAGTCCTGGAAAGAGTGCCTTTCTAAGGATTTTTTTTTTTTTTCCATGAGGTCACTAGCACATTGTTCCCAGGGCTGTACAACCATTCCTACTTCTAAACTTGTCTCAGGTTGTCTTGAGCCTCTGGAACCGACAATGCATAAACCACACCAGGAACCTACCTGTACCTCTCTGGATACATTGTGATAACTCTCCCACGATTCTAGACTTCCTGAGTGCTGGGAAATTGAATTTGAATATATACAGTGGAAATTGGAGTGGAAGAAGAACATAACTATGTGCAAAAACAAGGCAACTTGTAGTGTATCTGTGCTGTGATTGGCTCCTTCAGCTGTATCTGCAGTGCAGGAACATTTGTGATTTTCATTTCCCTATTTCCTGTCCCTCTTCTGTTCCCAGCTTCTCTCTTGTCTTGTGCCCTCACCTTGTTCCATGCTCTCTTCTCTGATTTGTACCACTGCTCCCTGCTCCTACTTTTTGTTCCCTGCCATGTCTTGCTGTTCTCTGCTCTGTCTCTTCAGCCCTTTCTCCCTGCCCCCAGTGCTTTGCCTCTTCTTTCTCTATCTTGCCACTCTTCTTGTCTTTGATTCCCCTGATCTTATTATCTTCTCCAAACTGGGTTGGGAATAGAAATAAGGAACAGAGGTATGATGATCTTAGCTACATTTACCACACTCTTCCATGGGGAAAGGGTTGGATGCTTTCCTAGATACATAGTTTTGAATTGAACACCCCCTGTCCTGCATCCATCAAGTGCAAAACTTGAACAAGATTAGCCTACCCTATGGAACTAATCGATGTAAATGGAATCACAAATTCATAGCCTTCTGCACTCCACTGTCTTTGACCCAACAGAGGTCTAACCCCATTCCCAAGCCTACCATCCTGCACAAGGCAACCAATTTCTTCACATTTCTGAAATACTCAAATCTCATTTAACCAAGCCCTTAAGCACACCTTAAGTCATCAACCTCCACAAAACATTCAATGTTGCCAATTTCAAAAACCTCCCCAAACACTATTCCTCCCCAAATCTGTTAACCTCTCCCAAACCCCATCTTCACCACACCCACCAGTGTTCCCAGAACTCTCACTCTTCCAAGCCAAGAAAATGTCCAAAGCACCTAATCATGCCACACAACCCACCATCCATGAATCTACCCACATCCCTAAAGCTGCAACCTTCCACAAATCAGCAATCTTCCAAAAACTCTAGCCTCTAAAACCAAACACACCAAAACCTCAGATTCCCCAAATTCACCGATGTTTCATGCTCATCAACCTCCTCAAGCTCAACAGTGCCCCATGCCCATCAACTGCCCCAAACCCACCAATATCCTTATGCCACTCAGCCTCCCCAACCCTGCAAACTTCCTAAACACACCATACTGCTGGAATATACCCACGTGCTCAAACCCATCAAACTCTCCAAACCTTTGTCCTCCCTCAAGTCCTCAATATTTCCAAATTTTTCAAGCTCCTCAAGTCCCAAATTTTCCATGAAGCTCAAATCCCCATGTCCACTTACCTCCCCCAAACCACCAATCTCATAACTTCAAGTTTATCAAGCCCTGAACCAATCCACCAAATTTTGCAAGCCCCAAATGGCAAATTTATTCAAAAGTCTCCAGATACTTGTCCCATCCCCCTAATTCCACATGTCCCCAATGCCAAATCTCCAAGTCCATCAAAATCCTCAAACCCACAGTCACTTTCAATTTCCTGCCTTCCTTAAATCAACATATCCAAACTTTCCCAAAATATGAACTGACAAATTACTCAGAGCCACCAATCTCTCCAAACAAGCAACCCTCCCCAGCAAACATGCTAGTTCCCACAATTCTACCAGACTACGGATGTCAACATCCTTTCCAAACCATGCCACCTTCCTAGCACCATCAAGTACTGTTGTTTTTGAGGTGTTCTCCATGGACTTTCTCTTGCTCTGGTAGCAAGATGCTACCCGTTGATGGTACCATGTCCTATAGGAATGAATATAAACTTAACAAAAAAACTCACACAGATGTACCCCTGTCGCACAAACACATTTCTTAATATAGTTTGTATATCATTAAACTTTACCAAGATCCTGGATTAAAAAAAAAAAAAGCCCTCACCTGTCCAGAAACACCCTCTGTAACTTCACTCAATTCCTTTTTGTAACCTCCTTCAGTCTCTCCTTCATCTAAGAACCATATCCCTGTGTCTGTCCCTTTTTGCTTGAAATCACACCATCTCTCCCCACTAGGGGCAATAAGACTGTGGACCTAAAGAGAGTGTGAGATACAGACAACTCCGAGCTAAGACCACAACAGGAAAGGCATGAACACTGCTTAATGTTTTCTCTCTTTCTCTCTCTCTCTCTTTTTTCTTGACTGAAGTATAGTTAGCATATAATGTTATAGTAGTTTTGGTTACAAATGTCAAAATCCCTGTGGCTCCAAGAAGAGGACTCTGGACTTGTGGTGGGCCCAGTCCAAGGTCGAGGACTCTGTCTCCACAGAGGATACATATGCCCGAAGGGCATGGGCAGGCCAAGTGTTGGTACCAGAATTGTGGTGATTTTTTCCCAACATGCCTGTGACATTCCCCTGTCTGGCCCTAGTCGTGGGTTGGGGAGGTTGATCTCCTGTTTTGAAACAAGGAATACAAGACTGCTAGTGTAGGGCAGATGGCTCAGAAGGAAGCAGAAGAGGTCCCCCTTTAAAGACTAAATCCAGACTCCTTTTCCACAATAGAGCATGGCCTGACCCAGGGTGAGCCTGCTGTATGGCCATCCCGGGGCTGGGGTGAGGTGGGGTGAACAGACACAATTACTGACTTGTGTGCGATCTCATGACTATTTGTGGAGGTGCACTGAGAGCCTGGGGAAGACCATCCACTGAGTGTCTGCCCAGCCTTGAGGGGAAGGCCTGGTTGGGTTCATAGGCTCTCCTCCTCCAGAAAGCACCCCAGTTCTTCCTGCCTTTCTTCTTTCCTTCTTCCTTCCTTTCTTCCTTTCCTCCTTTCTTCGTTTTCTTTTTCCTTCCTTCCTTCCTTCCTTTTTTCTTCTTTCTTTCTTTCTTTCTTTCTTTCTTTCTTTCTTTCTTTCTTTCCTTCTTTCAGCTTAAATGGGGGTAGAACCTCATTTGTAAAGGCTTACTATTTATCACTGCAATTTTATTCCTAATAAATATTAGTATTAGTAACATTGAGCATTCAAAATAATGGCTCTCTAAAATTCCCACATCTCAATCCCTTGAACCTGTGAATATATGGCCTAACATGGTAAATGGAGCTTTGCGGTCATGATTAGGTGAAGGTATTTGAATTGAGATTTACCCTGGGTTATCCAGTGGCTCAGTGTAATGATATGAGTCCTTAAAAGTGGAGAACATTTCCCAAATTGAATCCTAAATAGTTATGGAAATGGAATGAGTCAAAGAGATTCTACACGGTTGGCTTTGAAGATGAACACAGGAGGCCAAGAGCCAAGGAACGCTGTCAGCCTCTGAAATGTCACAAAGCACAGATACTCCAGAAGAGCCTCCAGAAGAGAAGGCAGCATTACTCATATGTTGATTTGAGCCTGGTTGAGGCTCTGACATACAGAAATGTACGATATTAAATCCGTGTTATCTGTGTGGCTAAGGTTGTGGTATTATGTTGTATACGTAGCAAGAGTAAACTAGCACATAATAATATGAAGCAATTCGTAACAATCATCATAATAGCAACAGGCACGGAGGGATGAACATGTACCCAGAACAGCCCTGTGTGTTCTGTGTGCTTTAAGTTACTTAACACTGTATTCCCGGTGATGTTGGATGACAAAGTTATTCTCCTATCGCATTAAAGAATCTGAGCGACAGAGGGGATGAATGTCCTGTCCTGAGGAAAGACACCTAGGAAGGAACATAGCCTAGGTTTGGTCGTAGGATAGTTTCACGCCTGGCTCCATTCATGTCTACATTGTTCTACCCTGGGTGATTAAACAGAAAGTTGTTGCAAGTCTCTTGATTCCATGTTTGGCCATGTTACAGTGATACTCTGCTGGTGTCAGTATACAGATAAATACTGATGTCAGAGAATGGGTGAAAAACGCAGCTGCAGGTGTTTGACAAGAGGAATAGAACCCCAAGGACACTTTCCCATCCTTAAGTCCCCCACACCCCCTCAACCGCTGTGGCTGAGGGACACAGGAGGGGCTCAAGCATCCTACCAGTCCTGGTGAAGTATCAGGGCTCTTTTGCCTGCTCCACTAAAGTTCTTTAGTTTCTTTTCTGTTCCCCCACACGCTTTCTCCTCATAGATGATCAAAAGGGCCGAGGGACAAACGATCTCTTCAAATTAGCTAAGTCAGTGATTCTGTATTATAAGATCAATGAGTTTGGCTTTCCTACAGAGATTTCCTCTCTGGGGGTGTGCTGACCCCTGCCAGGTTTCTTGTCATATTATCTCACAGAACAGACCCCTGCATCCTGGGTCCCATGCAGGCATCAAGTCACCACAGTGCCCGTCGCTGCAGGCATTTCACCCACTGAATCACCCCCTGGTAGCTGTATTCACAGCTCTGGCAGCCCTGGGCTCCTCTGGTACCTGCATCAGGACGTCTGAGCCTCTGGGACTGACCACCTACGACCTCCAAGCAGTGTGTGCCTGTCA